TTATTGCTCATGGTAGATGTTTAAAGTGAAAAAGAAACAAACATAGAAAATATGGATTAAAATCATAATCATAATAATAAGTTTTTTCTTTTAAGCTTGAGGTTTGTCCCACTTGAGTGGCTTGACAACCTCCCAAGTGAAATCAGGGTCGTCTCTTCCGAAATGTCCATACGCCGCCGTTTTCAAAAACCTTCCATTTCCTCCTCTCTTCAAATCCAAGTTAATCGTCATCATTCCCGGTCTGAAATCGAAGCTCTCCTTCACGATCTTTAATATCTCCTTGTCCGGAATCAGTCCTGTTCCGTAAGTTTCCACGAACACCGACAATGGCTCGGGGACTCCAATGGCGTACGAGACCTGAACAAGAGCCCTACGAGCCATTCCGTTTGCCACTACGCTCTTCGCGGCTTGCCTAACGATGTATGCTCCGCTTCTGTCCACTTTGGTTGGGTCTTTCCCTGAGAAAGCACCTCCTCCGTGAGCTCCCCATCCACCGTATGTGTCGATGATGATCTTACGCCCGGTTAAACCAGCGTCACCGTGTGGTCCACCGATCACAAACCTGCCTGATGGGTTGAGATGGAAGATTGTTTTGTCGTCAAGGTATTTCTCTGGGATGATTGGTTTGATCACATGTTCCTTGAGGTCACGTGCGATTTCGTCGTTGGTCACGGTTTCATCGTGCTGGGTTGAGATAAGGACGGTGTGGACACGGACTGGTACCATTGCGCCGTTATCGTTGTAGTACTCAACAGTGACTTGGGTTTTACCATCTGGTCTTAACCAACGGCAGGTACCGTTCTTTCTGACTTCTGTGAGACGAGCACCGATCTTGGTTGCAAGGACATGGCTCAACGGCATGAGCTCAGGGGTTTCGTCTGTTGCGTAACCAAACATGTGTCCTTGGTCACCAGCTCCAATCTCTTCAGGACGTTTGGTGAAGTGACCATGAACACCTTGAGCAATGTCTGGACTCTGTTGTTCAATGTTGACAAGGACTTTGCATTTGTCAGCATCGAGACCAACATCATCAGAGATGAAACCAATAGCACGGCAAGTGTCACGAACAATCTTCTCGTAGTCAACCGTGGCCTTGGTGGTGATCTCACCGAAAACCATGACCATGTTGGTCTTGGTGCATGTCTCACAAGCAACTTTGCTGTCTGGGTCTTGCTCAAGGCAGGCATCGAGGACTGCATCAGAGATCTGGTCGCAAAGCTTGTCTGGGTGTCCTTCGTTCACAGACTCAGATGTGAATAGAAAAGTCTCCATTTTTTTAAAAAAGCTATAAAGAACACATGAAAGATTGAATCAGACACCTCATAAACAATACAAGTAGAAGAAAGAAAGAATCATTTGATTCCACAATCAAGTGACATAAAGTTAGAAAGATTCCAAATCATTATCAAACAGCTCAACAAAAAAGATGCATCTTATCCTTCAGATTCGATTCTTCTGACATTCGTAGATGCCCAAAATGGGTAGTGACACAGTAGCAACCCTAAAAATGATAAAAGATCTATAAACACAAAAACCTCATTCACTTTAATGAACTTCAATCTTAACAGGAAGAACCATTAATGCACTGACTTAATGAGCCAAATTCAAATCATACACACATACGATCAATGCGAGAATCCAAATCTCTGCGAAAAAAATACAGATCCGCCATAGTGAACCTAAATCGAGTTCGAAACTTGAAGAATCAAACAAGTGAAGAGCAACAGTAACTAGAGAACTCGAAAAAAAAAACAGATCCAGCATCACAAACGAATCATTCATGTATATAGCCTTAAGAAACTACTCAAATCGCTCAAATCTAACGAAGAAAAAGACTTCAGAATCTCATTTCGTCGGTAAAAAACCCATAACATCGCAGATCCGATTTACAGTAAGGCGTAAACGAATCGAAAACTATCAAATCTGAATCGAAAACCGTCAAATCTAGAAACAAAACGATACTCGAGAGCACGAATCGATGAAGGAGAAGAAGAGCGATGATACCTTGGGCGGTTTCAGATCTGGGAAGAATCAGATCTCTCTTTGCCTAATGCCTCTCAAAGCAAATCTTATAGCGAAGGAATCGAGTGAGTACGCTTTGTAGTTCTAATGGGCGTTGCTATTTATAGGGATTAACGGCACTGTTGACTGGTCACCGGATCAATAGGTTAAAAAGCTCTTTTGCTTTGGACTTGATTTACTTTCTTTCTTCATCGGCTTATTCGGCTACAATTATTTATTTGTAGTCTTCATTTTTCTTTTTTTTAAACCCGAATTGGAAAGTTGATCATAATTATTTTTTGGATAACTGAATCACAATTTTTTTAAGGAACATAAAGATGAATGTTGTGGAATACTTTTTTTTCATGAAGAATTTTTTTCTTAATAGTTGAACCATAATTTTTATAAATAAATTTATGTTCGTAGTTTGTTTTAAAAAATGATGGATGACAGAATAATAATTAAAATTGGTTTAAATAGTAATGTTTTTCAAAACAATATAGATTCACTAATCTTTTAACAAAAAAATGTTAGTATATTCGATGATATAATATTTTACATTATATCACGCACAAAAGTATATATGACTGATTTGTTAATTTAGCGAAAATTCTCAAACTTTGTAGCAATCTAGCCCCAAAATTATATTCTCTCGGTTTCAAAACATAAGTTATTTTGGAGGTTTTTTTATGTTTCAAAATATAAGTTGTTTTGATAATTCTAAATACTTTTTAACTTTATTGATTATTGTGTGACCAATAGTTATTTTGAGAAATTTCAAAAAATGTCACTTTTCAAGTGTTACTTTTCAAAAATGCCACTTTTTCAAAATCTTTGCAAAAATGCCATTTTTTCATTATATAATTTATGTTGAGAAATTTTAAAAAATACCACTTTTCAAGTGCCACTTTTTTACAATCTTTACAAAAATACCACTTTTAAAAAATTAATTTATTCATTATATCATTTATGTTTGGGTTAACTATGTTGTATTAGGATTTAGTTTTGAGGGTTTAAGGGGTTTTAGAGGTCAAAAGTTTTTTTAGGGTTTAGAATTTTAAGATTTAAACTCTAAAAAATCATAATTAGTGGCATTCTTGCAAACGGGCACTAAAAGTGACATTTTTGCAAATGTGGACACAAAAGATGGTATTTTTGTAAATGTCTCATTTATGTTTGGGTTAAACAATGTTGTATTAGGGTTTAGTTTTGAGTGTTTAGGAGTCAAAACATTTTTTTAGGGTTTAGAATTTTAAGATATATGTTTTATAAATCTATAATTAGT